ATTCATATTTTAAATACACAAATTATTTTTCCACCCAATTGCATTTTATGTCATATTCTATGGTTTTATTTAGTTTCTATATATATATATATATATATATATATATGAGCTTTAAATTATGATTTGCAACCTATTTTAATATACCTGTGTCAATTCTACTGAAATATTGGCAGATTTGAAAACTTGGGCCTTCAGAGGTTAACAAATTGGACAGAATTTAAGATGTTTTTTAATGCAATACCCCACCAATGAAGGTGCTCTTCCAATAAAGTTCTGTATCAAATAAACAGCTAGGCTTCACTTGAATAATTTAAAATTGGAACTTCCACTCTGGAGGTTCAATAAATGACACATCATGTGTACATTTTTAAATAAAAACCACAATAGTTGCCTGCCCGCCAAAGAAAGAAAAGGAAAAAAAAAAAGAGAGAGAGAGAAAATAAGTCATTAGAAGATAAAGAGGGAAATAAATTCATTTAAAAAGAGCACACAATTGTGCCTTGAATCCACTCAATAGGCCTGGGCCCTAGATGCCCATAAATTTACCTTTTCTTCAGTAGCTTCCATCTCATCTACCTTCACAGAATAAGAATACCTTAGTCCAAATTCCAATCCCATCATTGACTAGCTGGGTGAATTTGATCAAGTCATTAAAACCACTCTGTATTGGTCAGTTTTGCAATACTGTAACAAAATATCTGAGGAAGGCTAATTTATAAAAGAAAAAAGTTTATTTTGTTTTGGAGGCTTGGAGTCCAAACAGCAGGGTATAAGCTCTGAAGAGGGTGCCCTTTTATATCATCCCGTCATGGTAGGAGCATGTATGTATCTTTGTATTTACTTGGTCTCTTGCTCAACTGTTATAAAAGCAATAAGGATTCTGTGATGAGGACTCCACCTTAGGGACCCCATCTAATCTAGTCACTCCCTATAGGCCACACCTCTACACATCACAGTCAGATTAAGTTTTCATCCTCTTAATACCTTTAGCATAAGGCTTTGGGGATTAAACTCCTGCATGAGTTCAGAGTGATAACTCACAGTCAAACCACAGCACTGTCTGTGCCTCAGTTTCCTCATCTGTAATATGGGAATAGTAGTAGTCCCTTTGTCATAGTATTATTAGGAGGATCAAAAAATTTTACAGATGTATAAGTGTTAGAAGAGTGTCTGACACACAGTAAGGACTAGTAAATTTAAATTATTATTATTTTATAAAAACTGGCTCCTAGACATAAGCCAATATTTTGTCTGTTGTACAGCCAAAGAAATCATCTATTCAAAAATGGAGAAAAAACTGACTGATCTGAATTTCACTGACAGTGTATCAGTCCTAAGGAATTTTCCAAAGGGAAAAAATGACTTAGCATTTGCAGGTCATACCCTGCTGAATACTCCTCCAACATGTGCCATGTACTGCTGGGGCGCTCATGCTTGTCGACGTCTTTGTTTTGAGTCAAGTCTGATTTCCTGGAACTTCCATTAGTTCTGGTTCCGCCTCCCTGAGTCAAAACTCTGTCAAACCACTTTCCAATGGACAGTTCAACAAAGCTTAAGAGACAGTGATCACATCCCTGCTACAGGCCAAACATCCATCCCTTCACCTGGTTTTGACAGACCAGAGCTAATCAAATCCTAAAAAACGGCTCACCATCTGCTGGATGCTCTAGGTTTGTCTGCGTTCCTTTTCAAGTGGAACAGAAATACAGTATCCAACACAATATTACTACCACTGTCCTCTGACCAGTCCAGAGTGCTGAGGGATGACTATCTTCCTAGACCCAATTACTGACAGCTCTATGGCTATTAACCCAGGTAAGATTGCCTCACTTAAAATTTCTGAGTTACTAGGAAACCAACAATGCCTTAAACCTTTTAATAGTCCTATTTGTAATTTAGATTAATAAGGTCATGTTTAATTACTCTTCTAAGGCCTATGCCATTCATTGGCAAAACCTCAAGAGCCACTCTTTGTATTGTTTTCTCCTTTTTTCAATCTATTAATAAATAATAACCCTTTATAAGTGCACACCAATTTCCAATTCCATATCAAATATCTCTGATCTTTGAACATAAGAAAGGGCAGAAACTATATTTTCCATTTCCGAACAAAGAAAAGGAGGCTCAGAAAGAGAGGCAACCTTCCTGGGATTATGCTGCTAGTAAAGAGCAGTTAGAATGAGCACATGGGTCCCGTTTCCAACTGGAGAAAGCATCCTATCACACACCTGTCTCACATTACTTAGTTCAAATCCCAGCCCTGCTGCTTCAGGGCTACCTGATCTTAGGCAGTTACTTAACTTCTCAGAGAGTCTCCTCTTCCAGGAGCAGCCCTGAGCATCAGACAAGCTGACATTAAATGGAATGAGCACAGGACCATGGTACATACCTCCTGCCCAGTTACGTTTGCCGGCTTCCCCCTCATTTACTAGGTATCCACCATATCTCTAGCACTATCCTGTGGGAGCATGGAACACTAAACAAGACTTCAGGCAACGTTAAAATAATGCAAATATATATGCATACAGGGCTGAGGTTGTGGCTCAGTGGTAGAGTGCTTGCCTAGCATGCATGAGGCACTGGGTTCAATCCCCAGCATCACATAAAAAAAAAAACCAAATAAACAAAATAAAGATATTGTGTCTTTCTACAACTAAAAATTTTAAAATTAAAAAAAAAATATGTATATATGTATACATTTAAATATGATAGTCATTTAGTCGCAGTCATGAGGTTTTAGTCAACAGTACGCATACTATAATATGTACTGACACCCAAATGATACAACTGATCATAAAGCTGGAATTGTTTGTGTGTTGAGGAACGTTAAGATGAATGAGAAATGATTAAAATTTGGAGTAAGTTATTGGAAACTGAAATTTAGCCTATGAAGGGTAACCACCTCCAAAGTCTGTTGGCCTTATATTCCATGACTGTCTACCTTCAAATTGCTTTGCTTATATCTGTGTTTAGGAACAGAGATAGTATATTATTGTTCTTTATGTTCCCACATTTCCTACAAAATATTGTCAAATAGTTGTTGTTTTGAGAACAGAGCCTCAATAAGTTGCCCTGGCTGGCCCTGAACTCAAATCCTCACACCTCAGCCTTCTGAGTAGCTGGGATGACAAGCACAACCCTCCCAGCCATGCTTACTCAAATCTTTTTGATTGACAGATTACAGGGGAAAAGTTCAAATTCATTACCAAAGCAAATACCACCTATTTTTATGATCAGCTGGTGGTGTGTGCTAGAAATAATTTGAGAAAAAGTCATTACCATTAAAAGTCTTTTAAATGGCACAGGCTTTTGCCACTTTTTCAAGTGGCATATAGATTAGACCAAATGGTTTCCAGATACTATATCACAACTGATTATTAAAAGATATTTTTAGATTTATTCATTCGACAAACATTTACTGAACAGCAACTTTCCTAGGCACTAAATGAAGCAGAAGAAATAAAGAAGATTAATTCAACCTGACCTCAAGGTTTCATTTTAGAATATGAAATGTCACATGTGCCTCAACAACTTAGCAATAGATAAAACCCACCACCAGCTATGAGAGAGAGGCAAACCGTGCTGAGAAAGCCCAGAGGGGAAAGAACTCACTTTCAAAAGCAAAAACAAGAGACTGACACCATGGATACCTTGCAATATCCCCTCGGTAGAGAGACTTATACTCCCAGTTTGCAGGATCGGGTTTCTTATCTGTTCTGAAGGTTTCTCCTGTCAGAGACTGAATGTCCTCAAGCCAGACAGAACGAAGTCCAGCATCAGCAGCAGTATTATTTCCTTGACTGTGGGAAGAAGGAAAAGAAAGAGGCACTTCAGAGATCCTCCAGTGATATACTTGACATTTTCAGAAATATGGGAGTTAAAACCTTTCAAACCCCACATGGCATCCAACGCGCCTAAGTACATGCTACAGGGACAAGAGAGGAGTCCTATTCTGGGAAAAAGAGTTTAAAAAATAAAGTAAAACCTCCCACCACTAAATAACAAGAAAGGTCACCACCTCAGATATTAACCTGAGGGACATAGGTATTTTTTTTTTTTAAGTAGTTCATTTAAGTGACTATAACTGGAATTGCAAGTATACTTATAAACAAATTTTTTTCCTAAAAAATAATTCTGCTCTGAGGCATTTAGAGTACTAGGCAGAGGAAATGATGACACACATTTAAAGGTGACAACCACTGACATTACAGTAAGCTGCCCTCACTTCACCTCACCAATAAGAAAGCACTCAAATACTTTATACCAACTAGGTACTTTTAAAAAAGAAAAGAAAAAAAAGAGCCACAATCTTGAATTACTCAGGAGTGGTCCCAGTGTCATTTCTATAATCTCGACTATTCCACGCTTTGCCTGTAGGTCTGTCTGGACCTCCTATAGAAAGGGCAGAGTCATGACGACCCCTGGAAGTCAAGACCCTTATTTATCTCTTTGAACCAAGTTGCAGGCTGGCAGACTTTCAGCTCAGTTACAAATGAATAAAACTGCTTCCCTAGGAGTTAAGTAAGAGGGAGAGAAGGATTTTCTGGCATCCCAGAATTTTTCTTCCTCTAAAGAAAATCAGTTTATAATGCAGCTGACACAAGAGCTGCCAAAGCAGTCAAAACAGCCATTAACTGTTGCTCCATCTTGGCTTTAGCTCTGCCCAGATGCAAATAAGAATTCTGGAGGCTTCTAAACCATTCCTGGCAGGGAATACAAGAGAATGCTATTTCAGGGATTCAAAGTAGCTACTCAATAAATACTTATTGAATGATAATGATAAAATATATTGTGATTTGAATGTATTTGCCTTTAGGACAACTGTGGAGGGTTTTCTAACTACAAAAACCATAGGGGAAGTGAAAGGAGGAAGGGTCCACTGGCAAGAGATTGATGCAAAACAGAAATAAAAGGAAAGCCAAATGTGAGGCAGGGAGGAAGGGCCATCTGCAGCCCACCCCAGCACATAAAGGAGCCCTCATATCTTCCCTAGCAGCTATGGAGGTAGGAAGCAGGATGCCCTCTAAACTGTGTACAAGGTGAGGCAGCCTTCCCTTTAAGGTGAAGAAAAGTTCATCCCAGGAAATGAAGGTCAATTAGTAGCTGCAGCCTCTGGGGAAACTGTCCCCAGATCTCCTGAAGTGGAATCCCTCGTGGTATGCTGCCCTCCATGAAGCTGCTTTTCCCTGACATCATGGAAAGACATTCACAACTCACTAATGTCTCAGCACTTGTCTATGTGGAAACAAACAGTTCCTCCAGGTCGACCTTCCCAGGAAGAAACTATAGAATTTAATCACAAAAAAGCAAAAGAGAAGGATAAGAACAATCTATTTTGATCTCAGGTCACTCCACAAAATAACAAACTTACAAATGCTATCTGGGGCTGGGGTTGTGGACCAGTAGTAAAACACTTGCCTAACATATGTGGGGCACTGGGTTCAATTCTCAGCATCACATATAAATAAACAAAATAAAGTCCATTGACAACTAAAAAAATGCTATCTGAAAGAGAATAAAATCATGGCATTTGCAGGTAAATGGATGGCATTGGAGAAGATAATGCTAAGTGAAGTTAGCCAATCCCAAAAAAACAAATGCTGAATGTTTTCTCTGATATAAGGAGGCTGACTCATAGTGGGGTAGGGAGGGGGAGCATGGGAGGAATAGATGAATTCTAGATAGGGAAGAGGGGTGGGAGGGAAAGGAGGGGGCAGAAATTTAGCAAGGATGGTGGAATGTGATAGACATCATCATCCAAAGTACATGTATGAAGACATGAATTGGTGTAAACATACTTTATATACAAGCAGAGGTATGAAAAACTGTTCTATATGTGTAATAAGAATTGTGATGAATTCCGCTGTCATGTATTAAAAAAAAAAACAATTAAAAAATAAATTAATAAAGGTCACTTAAAAAAATGCTATCTGGATCATAAAACCAAGCAGAGGCCAAAATTAACAATCTTTCAAGTTCTCATGGTAGTTCCTATATGGTTTCAGGAAATCATTTAACACTTTCCTCAGCTCTAAAGAAACTATCACAATTTAAAGTAGCTTGCTTTGGAAATACAAAAAAGCTAAGAACACAGACCTATGGGGTGTAGCTCAGTGGTACAGCACTTGCCTAGCATGCTCAAGGCCCTGGTTCAATCCCCAGCACTACAAAAAAAAAAAAAAAGATAAAATTCAAAGATATCAATAATATATTAATTCACACAGCAACAATGCACCGTAGCAGGCCCCACCAAGCACTTGGGGATGCAGCAGTAAGCAGGCTGGCCATGATCCTGACCTCCTAAATTCAGTCTGCAATTCGGAACCTTTTTGCTCAATTCCTTTTTTTCCCCCTCCTGAGAGAAAGCATGGGTTACAGGTATAGCACTTGAGACACATAGCACTAAAGAAATCTGGCTCCTCTGAGTAACAGAGGCAGGCAGTGCTCTTCACCAGTGGTCTGAGGACGCTGCTCTGGGATCCCAGAGGGGTGCAGTGTTTGCCTCTCTGTTGGAAACACTCAGGGTCAGCTCCACAATTCCTGAAGCAGAGAGCTCTCACTGGCATCAAAGGACTTCCAAGCATACAAGAAAAGCAAATAATCCCTGAGGGTTGCAAAAATCTTAATGGCACCATATTTTTAAGTACACCCTGGAAAACTACTTAAAATTTTCTTCTAATTTGTAGGAACTAAGAAAAGGAAAACGTTAAATGAGTAATAATTCAGTAGCTTCAGCATATTCTATCTGTTCCGTCTCACATACCTTTCTATGCAGAAGGATGTTCAACTACACAAAGAGGAAAAGCTATATTGAGTCCCTATGCTGTGGCCTCTCCGTGGAATGAAATTCCACAGAGCAATTGGTTCAAGGCAGATGAGCAGAGTGAGATATGGGGACACCAAGTCACCCAAGAAAGGAAATACTGTGGTCACAAGCTACTCTAACCCTTTTAACACAGTGTTTCTAAATAAATGTGAAATTAAAAAATGAGAGATAAAAAACAATTATTTAAGAGTTTTATTAACTGAACTGAAAAAATAGAGTGAGACAGGGAGAGAGAAAGCATGTATAGGAGTAACTGAACAAAAAACATCAAGGCTAAGAATTAAGAGGCTTCGGTTAGTCTCTGTTAGGGTAGAAACCAACAGTCCTCAGGGATGGAATCCTTCACTGTGTAGTGCAGTGACACACAAGCCCACCATGTGGCATATAAGCCATCTTTGAGAAAGCCCAAATCAGATTTTGACACCATCATTACTGTGTCTAAGTAGTATTTCTCAAACAAAATAATACCCCTAAATTTTTTTGACAATTTTTCTTTTGCTTTTAAGCTGATCTAGTGATAGAGATCTTTTGAGTGACTGGCTAATTATTCAAATGTCTAACTTGTGGCAACAATCAAGACAGAAAATTCAAATTTAAAGTGCTGCAGTATCTGAGCAGAGCAACATACTTGGGTTTCTCAGCTTGATTCTGGCTGCTTCTGATGCTCCTGGAAGATCTGTCCTTTCCTGAATCAGAATCTGGCTCAGACTCGCTGCTGCTCGACTGCCGGTGCTTCCTCTTGGTTTTCTTGTGGTGCTGATGCTTCCTTTTTTTCTTTTTTTCCTTCTTCTTTCTCCTGCTTATTTGTGTGAGCTTTCTGCTAGCATCACTTTCATCTGAAGGCTCTGATTTCGGAGGACTCCTTTTTGGGAAAATCAATTTAGAATTATTTTCAAGAGAAATAGAAAAAATTATATATAAATAAGAAAATAATGCAGGTAAATATGTAATAGGGAGCTCTATAAAACGCCCATAGAGACTTACTATTTACCCAGATACTGCACAGAACCTTCCTGGGTTACAAATCACCTTAAAGACTTTAAGAACTGAACCTCAAATAAAAATGGATGAAGGAAAAATTTTCATATTAATAGTTTCCTAAATCTATACTTTCATTACATACACATTTTTAAATAAAAGTAACCTATCAGTAACTTTATCAAATAAAGCAGTTTTTAGGCACATTATTAAAAGTACCTTTTCAGGACCATATATTATGCTGAAATGTCCTTAAGGTCAAAACAAAAAGAGGTTTAATTTGTGGTCCTTATTTTTAAAGATGACAATGAGCTCTTCTTCTAATTACCAAAATCTCTACAAACTCCCTCTTGGATATTAATTATTATCAGTTTCCAAAGGCTTCCTGCACAATTCTAGTACAGGATTTCAAATACAGATCACCTAGTCTACATCTGTGGAAGAGCACGTTCCTCAATTCAATCATCTACAAAAGGTCTTTCATAGCTGGGGAGCGACGTGGCCACTTTGCTTTCTTAAATGTTAGTCTATGTTATATCACACAAGCTACAACACAAGAAGTGCTGAAAAGGCAACTAAAGAAATACCCAAATTCTAATCATCTAAAGATCACTAATGAAGGTAGCAAAGTACTTGAGAATCTCAAGTAATTTCTCTCATGGCCACCTAACTAGGGACTGACTGTCATGCACTTACCATTGCAAAGGGGGAAGAAGGAGCCCTCTGCAGGGGTGAGGTGGGAGGAAGCAGCCAGAGGTTGCCTTATTGAGTACAGGGATGAGTTCACTCACTCTTTCATCACAGGGCTTTCGAGGAGCATCAGCTGAGCTAAGCTACAAAGTGGACCAACAAAGGCTAAAATCCACCTGTCAAAAAGTACCTTGTTGGTGATGACCCTTCAGAAACAAGAGCTGTGGCCTCTTCAGTTTGTTGGCTCAGGGTAGTTACAGTTCCGACACAAAAACTTGGGTTACTCAGCCAGTCTAATTCTGCAGATGCAAAAGAGAGAAAGGATCAATGAAAATTGGCTCAATATGATTTCTAAAGCAGGAAATCCATCCGTCTTATCTGGCTTCTCAATTCACAGCCAAAGTCAGTCAGACATTTTGAACACCCCATAGAAGCTCAACAGAATCCATGAAATTTTTATTTCACAGGGCACGGCACTTTAACGTGCTCTTAAATATTTCAGACTGAAATCCTCTTGTGGTATCAGGCTGCAGCTTAAGCAAAAGCCACATAACAGGTGTGGCCTAAAAGGTAACCTTGTTTTCTGTATTCCATCCACATTGTTTAACAAACTTGAATGCTTCCAAAGCATTAGGTTTTAGTAACTTCAAATTTGATTCATACAAATCATAAAAATGAAAAATCAAATCATGCAAAAAAGCCCACCATGCTTAATGTTCTGACAGAAGGTAAAGATCTTTTTTACTATATCCAATGCTCTGTCTACATGTAGTAACTTAACAAACCTTTCCTTGTAACAGTACTCTTCTTTGGAAAAAACACACACACACAGGGCTGGGCTGGGGCTGAAGCTCAGCGATAGAGCGCCTGCCTTCCATGTGTGAGGCACTGAGCACTCACTGAGTTCGATCCTCAGCACCACATAAAAATAAATAAACAAAATAAAGGTATCGTGTCCATCTACAACTAAGAAAATATTTCAAAAAAACACAAGATGTCAAATTTTAACGCTGAAATTATAAAAATGTTATTAAAATTATCTCTGGGTGTGAGATTAAATATCTAAAATCTTTTTGTGTGCTTTCCCATAATTTCTGACTTTTCTATAATAAACTATTACTAAATTGCTCATTTTCTAACTTTTAGGAGTCTTGGCTATGAAAGGAGAAAAAGCATAGGATGGAAGTAGCAAGGGGTCCCACAGAGAAGTGGCATTTCTGCTGTCTGGCTTTAGGATGGGAGGCCATAGCACACACACATCTGAGGAGGAGGCCATGAGACAGAGAAAGACGTAAGAAGTAGCTGCAGTTTTTAGTAACTTAAGATATAATTTACATGCCACAAAGTTCACCCATTTAAAGTGGACAACAGTTTTTAGTGCATTTAGAGTGGTGCAATCATCTCCATAACTTTAGAACATTTCATCGTCCGATAAAGAAACTTCACTGGCAGAGCAGCTGATTCCTGTCACCTCCCCTTGGCACAGGCAATCACTGATCTACTTTCTGTCTGTCAGATTTGCCTATTTTGGACATTTAATATAAATGAGCTCATATAACATGTGGTCTTCTGTAACTGGCTGCTTTCACTTGCAAAATGTCCCCACTGCAGCACACACCACACACCATTCCTTTTTACCACCAAATGATATCCCATGTCATGGCTATACCGCTTTTCATTTAGTTCTCCACTGATGGACACTAGGGCTATTCCCTCTCTGTGGCTATTGTGAATAGATATTTAGGAGCAAAACTGTAGATAGATATTTAGGAGCAAAACTGCTGGGTCACATTTAGCATCCTGAGGTGCTATCAGCCTATTTTCGAAAGTAGCTGCATCATTAGATTCCCATTAACAATATATGAGGATTCCAATTTCTCCACATCTCACAGACAATCGTCACTGTTGTTCTGCTGATTATAGTCATCCTAGTAGATATGATATGTTATCTCAATGTGGTTTTAATTTTCATTTTCCTCATGACTAATGATATTGACATCTTTTTAATCTGTTTATTGGCCATTCACAGATCAAAGAGAAGTAAATATCCAAATTCTGAGCTGTCTTTTTATTATTGAGTTCTGAAAGTTCTTCATATATTCTGCATTCTGTCCTTTATGGTAACTGTATCTTACTGAGGACATATCAGCACACATGCTCCCTGAAGACAGGTCCTTTGTTTTATTCACACTGTATCCCCAGCACCTAAGGCAATGCCCGGCACATGGCAGGTATTCAATGACTGTAGAAAAGAGAGGAAGGAGAAAAGATGGAAAATTCCAAAGAAAAAAAGAAATATTAAATAGCACAGGAAAAAGGGAGAGAGAGAGACTCCAATTTAGTGTCTACAGTAGGCCAAGCACAAGGCCAAGTTTGTCCATCCCTTACATCTTTTAATCCTCATAACAAGGCTCCAGGGAAGTATTTTGATGTCCACTTTACAGAAGAGAAAACTAGGGCTCAAAGGATTAAGTAATTTGTAAGGTCGTATCTAGTAAATGTTAAGCACTGTTACTGTTCGTGCAATCTTTCTTCAACTGTCTCCTTTTTCCTTCTGAGGTTGGCTCACTCCCGCAGGGCCTAATTCCTGGCAAGACATGTGGAAATAGTTCCTGTTGCTAAGATCAGAATTATTTCCAAAACAATCAGATCCTATCATGGACAACAGAAAAGCGGGAAAGATGGAACAAACATTATGCTGGGAGAGTGCTCAAACCAGAATGTCTTTCCACAAACATCCCAGATAACAATGACAGCTGAAAACAAATATAAACACAAACATCAAAACAATGCAGAGTGTGTGACTCTCAGAGTATCTCAGAAGGTAAGAGACAAGGCTGCTTAAGAATGCAGCTGATGGGCTGGTGGCTCAGTGGTAGAGCACTTGCCTAGCATGTGTGAGGCACTGGGTTCAATTCTCAGCACCACATATAAATAAATTTAAAAAAATACACATTTAAAAATAATAAGAAGAAAAAGAATAAAGCTGAGGATTTGACCACAGAACTACTGGGAAGAAAGTAGTTTATAAAGAACTATAATTCGCCGGGCATGGTGGCACACATCTGTAATCCCAGCAGCTCAGGAGTCTGAGACAGAAGGATCACGAGTTCAAAGCCAGCCTCAGCAATGGCGAGGCGCTCAGCAATTCAGTGAGACACTGTCCCTGAATAAAATACAAAAATAGAGTTGAGGACATGCCTCAGTGGCCAAATGCCCCTGAGTTCAATCCCCGATACCAAATTTAAAAAAAAAAAAAAAAAAAAAAACACTAAAATTCCTGGGTTTTGACCCCAAATCACCATGGACCCTGTGTGTGGCCCTCATCTCAAAGGGGGAAAGATATCTGTAATGGTTTAGATCTAAAAACCCCACAGAGATCATTTGTTAGGCAATGTAACAACATTCTAAGATGAGAACTGTAACCTCATCAGTGAATTCATCCACTTAATGAAATAATCTGAATGGACTACCAGCTATGACTGTAGGCAAGTGGGGCATGATTGGAGGAAGTAGGTCATTGGGAATGTGGTCTTGGTCTAGCCCTACCCTGACCCCTTTCTCTGTTTCCTGCTACCGTGAGCTGAGCAGCTTTCCTCTGCCATGCCCTTCCACAGTCATGTCTGTGGAACTAGTAAGGCCCAGAGCAATGAAGCTGGCCAACTATGGACTAAAACCTCAGAAACCACGAGCCTAGGTAAACTTCTCCTCCTCTAAATTGTTCTTGTCAGTATTTTGTTCACAGCAACAAAAAGTTAATTAATAGTACTGACTAGACAAGAAGTTGGTTTATGTTTGCTAGTATATTTGCTGAATAAGTACAGAATATCATAAGTAATAATCACTAGATGATCATTACTGAAGGAATCTGGGGAAACATCTAGTCTATATTTTTTCAAACTTTTCTTAACCAAGGAATTCACTTTTCTTAAAGAAACAAAAAAAAAAAATTAAGAAAAGTTCAACCTACAGAATGTAAAAGGCAGGGATAGTCTGGCTGGCTGTTCAGAGGGAGGGGATGAGATGCTCTCTGGAGCACAGCTCTAACATATAGCTGGAGGCTCAAAGAGGTTAAGTCATGTGGCCAAGGGCACACATCTAAACCTGGTCATCAATTCTTCATCCAATGCTCTCTAGCACACCATGGTACTTCTCTCTGCTTCCTCACTCAGGAGGTAGCTCTCCTAAAGTCTCCTTGCCATTGTTACCTGAGGCTGTTACGGCAATATTCGCACTGTAATCTCATTTTCTACACATCACTATTCCCACTATATTCTACACTGAGCGTCAAACAACTCAAATCCTCTGGGCACCAGAGTAGTAATGATTATTGTGACATGATAAGAGAGTGGCAACAGAAAAAATAAAAACAAAACCCTAAAAATATTTGTCAAAAAAATATTTCCTAGGTGCTAGGTATTGGGGGTAGAGTGGTAACAAAACAGGCTATGCGCACATGGTGCTTAATGATAACCTTTTTATTATTTTTAAAAAATTTTTGGTGCCAGGGATTAAACCCAGGGCCTTGCTAAATTGCTGAGGCTTTGAACTTATGATTCTCCTGTCTCAGCCTCTGAGCTGCTGGGATTACAGGCATGCACCACCATGTCTGGAACTTGATCATAATTTTACCTGGTCAAATAGTATATTTGGATTGTCAAATTCAACAATAGTTAAACAGATTACTGGAGTCATATAAGAGATTAAAGATGCTTATTTAATCAGACTGCAAAGTCCTTTCAAGGGTTACTGACATCCTCAAATAATTTACACTGCCTGTAGAAATCAAACATGTAATTGTGGCAATACTGAGCAGGATGTAACATATTACAGAGAAGAGCAACAAGGTACCAAATGTTCAAGGCTTAAGAGAAAACTGACAGACCTTTCGTCCCTGAGGGCCATGGATCAGTAAATAAACCACAGGTTGTGACTTGCCTGGAAAACTGGCACTTGGCTATACACACACCTAAGAAAGGAAAAACGGTGGAGGTTTGGAGCAGAAAACCACTGTAGACCTATTGCCTAACAAAAATAGGCAGCTACCTGGTGGGACTGCAGCATGTATACACTTCCAAGGTGACTTAACAGAAAGTGGTAAGATCAATCAACATCAAATACTTAATGCTGAAATACTTTCTGTTGTAAGTTTATTATACAAATCCACTTCTCTGTCACTACTGAAAATGCTTTAATTCAATCTCACCATTGATAAACAAAGATTTAAACTTTAAAAACAAATTTTGCATTATAATTGGATAAAATATCCCAGTTCTATACCCACTCCACATTCTTTTAC